CTCTTCGGTTCTGGATTTGCTTGAATTGGGGTTCCCTATGTACATGATAGCGGACATCTAACTAAGGCTACTTCCTGTTTGTTATGGAGAGCCACACCGACTTCCACTGGACAAGTGTCCACGACGCTACACCACAAATTGTCTCTGAGTTGCTGTCTTTGGACACATTCCCACAGTAAAGTACACGTTACAGCAGATTCGAAACGAATAATCACTTTACATGAATGCCAGGCAACGTTTGAAACTGCAGTGGTTATAAGAAATCAATGGCTGATCAGTCATAACGTCTGTCAAATAAATAGTCTGAAAGTAGATTTTATAGAACAGAAACAGTTTTCGTACAAAACTATGATATTTCTGAATACAAACACAGCCCATCAGCGCGAAATACCGCCCTCAACAATAAACAAAAATTCTCCTTTAATTATCTCTTGATCAAATTCTGTATGACATTGATGATGTTTCTAACGCATCCATGTTGTTAACGATTCCACACAAATAGTCAAGGTCTGTGTTTGCTGTCGTGATTTAAGATGTCCGTTGTAACGTGACCTATTTCGACCAAGGCCACCGCTGTGGTTCCAGTCATTACGTTGACAAAGACCTTGTGTTAATTGTTCTTCCCTCACGTCCTCAAGTCCCCTTTGTAGTGGCTGGGGGCAGTTAGACACGCCGCTTGTTGACAAACAATGTCAATATTAACAGAACTGCCCAAATAGTCAACACGGTCTTCAAACACCACAAATCGCCTCCGACGTGACTGTCATAATTTCTTGGGTTATGCAAAGAGTTTGAAGTACATCTTGGATTAAAGGGAAGCTCTACGTTGTAGATCGTATTGTAAATCAATGTACGTAGTTTATACAAATAACTTTCTCGTTGTATTGCAGTTCTAAGGATTAAGTTGTAGACATACGTGGATAACCTTCACAGAAAATTTGGCACCAAAGTGGTACCAGAAATCTGGAGCTCGATGAAAGCGATTTAAAATAAAAACATACAGAATTCTTGTTCTTTAAAAATTTCACTTGAGGTTCAAATACACACAATGAAAGGTAAATCATGGGTATCACTTGAAGAAATGTATGTACGTGTTTGTTCCCCGCTGCCGATAATAATTAACATATTATGGGAAAGCTATCAATGGTGTATATTCAAAGAATGATGTGTGTTTGTATGTCACAATGGCACATCGGAGAGGTAAACAACGTGTGAATCGTTCTCGTGTTTGATGGAACGTAATGTCAATTTGAACACATGCTGTTGTAAACAATATCGAGATTTCAGTGAGAAAGCACATGACCACATCTATGTTTTATTTAGAGATTACATCGAGATGGCCTTACATGTATCAAATCATTTTCGAAAATCCCATTGCACATGGAGCAATATGATGACATCGAACATCTGGTGTCCGGGAAGAATTTGAGTATATTTGTCTTTCCGGTAATACCAGTTATGTAGAATAGCATGGCCAACGCGTTAAAAATATTTAAAATATGGTTATTGATAACCTTAATGGTTAATGTTCGGGGTCCAGGTGAATGTTTGAGTATTATACTATTCACATGCACACACGCTTTAAGCTTATACTGAAGCAGTGATGACCTTTGTCGATATAACGTTAAGTCATCCTGTACATTTTGTAGAACAGTGCTTTTAACAGTTATATAAATTGAAATAACGAATATCATTCCAGTAACAACGTCATTTCTGGGTATCATTTTGATAACCAAACATGTGACCTGTATGTAGTATTGAAGCATTCCCAGAAGAACCTCATTAAAACAACATTTTTCAGATGTCATATTTGTATTTTTTTATTTTGACAGTATTTTTATAACAATTTTCTGTTGACGTTCGTGGCATCGAAGTTCATGCTCGTGATCACAGCAACATCATTGGTACCTGTGTGGCAATGTCCCAGAGAGTAGTGATAACACATGAATTATCAGGACTCATAAGTAATCGCAGTTATGGCTACTTATGTATAGGTTTTCTCTAAGACTTAAAGTATATATGTCATTTCCAACCATGTGCAGCAGGCCTATTTAGCCTATTTCTTTTCAAATGGGACCTCAAGGCTCTGAAAGAGGGCAAGAGGCATCTTCTTACTATTTTTACATCTCGTTCACCTTTTACAATTTGACTGAAATAATGATTAACAGCTATTTAAATATCTTTATCAGAATACCTTTTATTTCACAACGAGTTTCTGGTGCAGATATACGTTGATGTATTAAAGATTATCAATATCTGATTAACTTCACAAAGCAGGCAAGGATATCAGACATGTATCAAACATTTGGTCCTAAGGTCCTAATGTCCAGGCACTAATTTCATGACAAAGACACACTTTAAACTGAATATATTTGGTAGGGAGTTTTAATATCACATAAATTTTAAACCTAACCGCGATTATTAACAAAATAAAACTCAAATGTAACATTAATTTGAATCTGTCATTCTCAGGGGAAAAGCCACACACCATGTCTGATATCCTGACATGTGTCTCGTGAGTGCCTGTTTGCTTCGGAGGGTCCAGCTATGATGAATATTCAGGTTAAAAGAGAACAAACACCAATCTTCTCACCACCATTTCCTATGGTATTTCTCAAGGTTATATTATAATATTGACAGCAAACACGCCACTAATAACAAATCATATTCACATCCCAACAAATAACAATTGTAAATTTTGTGCCGATTTCCTGGATCAATGTTACCTGGGTCACCGCATTGCTGTCATAATCGAAGTTGTCCTAATATCCGCTTGAAGCTATTGCTCTCCTAGATGAAGCCAACATAGTTCAGTCTGGTTTGTGTTATATTCACTGAGCAACTCAAGTTGTCCCACATCGCTATGCACTAAAGGATTGTGTGTGTCAATGTTTGACAGATGTCATGACCGGTCCATTCAGCCAAAAATTGCAAATAAAAAAATCGAAATCTCATCACACAACAGGTAATATATTGGCAATTTTAAGATTTAATGTCTTTACATTATCTTGACGAAGCATTGAGTAATGTTTAATATAATTGGAAACATGAATGGCTTTCAAATTCTATATTCTTTCCAAGCGAATTTCGGCACATGTGCTAGTATCAAATCCTTCATATAGGTACTACTATATGTACTATCATCTCGCGTGATATGTGAGTGAGTGAGTTGGGTTCAAAGCCGCTTTTAACAGTATTCCAGTTATATCACGGCGTGTCAGCTTAATGTGGGAGGAAAGCCCGAAGTGATGCAGGTTTAAGACGTTTTCCACTTCGGTGAAACGAGCACGGGTATGGTGCTGACAAACCTAGAAACATAATCGGGAAAAACCGGGATTCGAACCCACAATCATAGGTTTCTGGCGTGTCCAAGGGACGCACCCCGCACAACCTTAGACGACTGGGTCACCCGTGCCCCCGAAAGAATAGAAGTCATTATTGTTTTCTTTAACCCCGATATTATACATATATTCTTTTGTGCCCATTCCCATAGGGGAATTCAAATACATACATACATACATACATACATACATACATACATACATACATACATACATACATACATACATACATACATACATACATATACGTAATATATCGCGCTTTCGGCCTCCCGGCCTCATCGGGCACACCCATTCGGTGTGGCACTATTTTACTCAACATGTTTCTGCAGCTGAATTAAGCTATGACGTCATTAATCTTTGTGAATTATAACATCTGATTTTCCTTTTCTTCTGAGAATCTTACTGTTTGGAAAACTGGAGAAACTCTCACGCTGTTGTTTATTTTGTCTGTTTAAAGTAGTGACATTTGATGTTTTTAATTATTTAAAGAAGTGCCAAATTGATCTGTGGGCAAACAGGTTGAAATTGCCATCAAACTGTCGTGCCGAGGAGCTTCGTTTCTAATCTTGGCGAGTGAGAATGTGAAAATTCACAAGTGTTTTAGAAATAGTACGTGGTAAAATGTTGGCGCATGGATTGTATTTTGTAAAGCTGCCGCGGTCATTTCCTTGTCATGACACAAAGAAACGGAAATGTTCCCTTCGGCGTCTTGTTGTTACAGTTCACGTAACCATAGAGCGTCATGCTGCTGTGTCCGACCCATCGCCACAGACACACCGCACTATTGCCTCCAAACACCTGAGACACCATTTACTCCACACATGACACTATTGCCTCCACACATGACACATTATTCCCTCTACACATGACACACTATTACCTCCACACATGACACACTATTGCCTCCACACATGACACATTATTCCCTCTACACATGACACACTATTACCTCCACACATGACACACTATTGCCTCCACACATGACACACTATTGCCTCCACACATGACACACTATTCCCTCTACACATGACACACTATTGCCTCCACACATGACACACTATTGCCTCCACACATGACACATTATTCCCTCTACACATGACACACTATTGCCTCGAAACATGACACACTATTGCCTCCACACATGACACATTATTCCCTCTACACATGACACACTATTGCCTCCACACATGACACACTATTTCCTCAACACATGACACACTATTCCCTCCACACATGACACACTATTGCCTCCACACATCACACATTATTCCCTCTACACATGACATATTATTGCCTCCACACACATACCACACTATTGCTTCCACACACATACCACACTATTGCCTCAACACACACCACACTATTTACTCCACACACACCCCACTTTTTACTCCACACATACCTAAATGTTGTCCATACCTAAATTTCATATTGCTGGTGGATCTGGTTTTCTAATCATAGGGACTAAATAGTTAAACGAATGCTTAGTTTGATCAAATCTGGCGTTATGTACCCCAATCTCATCATATTCTTTTCGATATTCAAATGGCTAAGATATTTCCTTCTTAATTATACAGCTGACTTGTCCATGTACATCAGTTGGAGTTTGTCATTTTGAAAGTATATTAAACCGTTGTTTCTTATTTTGTCTTGCAGGAGCACTGTCCCAACAAGCGAGCGAGTCTACCAACGAATGTCCAAAGGATATCATTAAACAGGCTATGGGATGTTTCTCGGACTTGGCGTCAGGGGTCACGAAGGGTCAACCTGCTCAATTTGCAAGATCAATGCCTTTGGACTACCACATGATCAGAGAATACTGTCAAGAGTAAGCCAGTTTCACTATCTTTTGCACATACATGTATCTGCCTTTGTTTGTAATTATACATCACGGCATATATAAGTGATAGGAGTGACACTACAAATAATGTGCATGTTTCACCCATCTGGCTAAACGTTATAAAAATTGCGGGACGATGGAGTAGCATAGTGGTTGAAGCGTTCGCTCGTCACGCCGAAGGCCCGGGTTCGATTCCCACATAGGTACAATGTGTGAAGCCCATCTCTGGTGTTCCCCGCCGTGATATTGCTGGAATATTGCATAAAGGGTCGTAAAACCATACTCACTTACTTATACAAAATTGGAAGGTTTAAAAGTATATACTTTTAATTATACAATGATGATGAGTGATTTCCCTATATACCTCAGAAGTGAAGTGTAAATTTGGAGCGGTATTTCCCGAACACCTGGATTCATGCGGATATCCTTAAAGAGCTACAGTCCCGGCCTTTTTGGCAGCAACTGCAGCAAGTCAAGTTCATTCGTTTTACGAACCGACTGCATCTTATTATTAGATCAATCACGTACCGTGTTGGTATCCAAATTAAATAGAGACAATGTCTCAATTACACACGCCTATACCAACTCCAGCCTTAATAGTTTCAATTAGGCTTAGGTTTCACGTATAATATATAACGGTATTGTGTTTCAGGTATATAATTATGGCTCAGACAGTCCTCGGATACCGATATGTTTCTTTTCCTATGGTTCGGGCGTCTATGTGGACTACAGGACCGATATACGTTGTGTCTAGTTACCCCACTTAGTGACAGGATCCGCTGGTCTCTAATTAATTACTTTTCTATATTTCAGGGGAGGTCACATGACCCGTTTTCTGTCATGCATCGACAATCTCCAGCGACAATGTGAAAACGCACAGGAAGCGGAAGTGTTACTGCAGATCATCAACCCTGAGCGCGTGCGCACAAGCGTCCCAAATCTATGCGGAAATATCGATTGTAAGTATGTGTATGTCATTGGTTCAAGTGCTATTCTTATAATTTACCACAACATATCACATCGGAATCATAAAGAAATCAGCGTTTCCATGTTGCACGTCCAATGACCCACCTTCCCAGTGAACATCTGGGTTAGATTTGATCTTCAGCAACCCATGCGTGTCGTTGGAGGCGATCGCGACTAAAGGGATCGGGAGGTCGGTCTCGGTGATTTGGTTGATGCATTACATCGTATCCCAATTGCGTGGATCGATGCTCATGATGTCAATCACTGGATTGTCTGGTCCAGACTCGTTTATTTAAATACCGACGTCATATAGTTGGAATATTGAGTGCGTTAAAAAAGGAAAAAGAGACATACTTTAATCGTCCATTCGTCTTCGTTACAGTGATTGAGGGGTCTGCGGAATGCTTGAACCAAGAGATGACAAGGGACTCTAGCTGCAAGAACTCAGCCAAGGAGATGATCAAGAAAGGGATGGCAGAGACCCCCCGTAATGTCTCCGCCTTGTTCATTGTGCAGTGCAGGTGCGTGCAGCTTCGGTGTAGTTTATAGCAGTACAACCAAGAACAGGAACATAAGTGTAGCTCGGTACAGTCTAGAACAGGAACATCAGTTTAGCTCTGTACAGATTAGAACAGGAACATAAGTGTAGCTTAGTGTATATACGTACAGTCTAGAACAGAAACATTTGTATGGTTTGATACATTCGAGAACAGTACCATCAGTGTATATCGGAACAGTCTGGAACAGGAATATTAACCGAGTTCGGTTCAATCGGGAACAAGAAAATTAGAGTAGCTAGCTCGGCCGAGAACAGTGACCTTAGCGGTGCTGTAATAGTTACAAAGTACATCAGCAGATAAGCTGAAGTTTGAAACGTAGAATTTATGAAACGATATTGCGATACGAACGGATATTTAGTTTAAGAATTCTAGTTTTAATTAATTCTGGCTCTATTGCCATGCATAGTGATCTATGCATATTACTGTGACGAATATACCAAACATAATCTGAACAAATTAAAACTTGTTAAAGAGTAGGTATATTCTGTTCTTACATTTTAACACGCTGTCCCTTTATTCTAAGCTGTTTGATTTTATCCCAAGGTTCTTCAACATCCTTGCTGAGTGTCAACGGACATCCGTGAAGAAGAACTGCGGTGAGCAGCAAGCTAACCTACACGCTGACTTCATCCTGTCATTTGTGCCCAACACATGTTCGAACACCAACTCCTCTATGACTTCCACGGGAGATGTGACCACGAACAAACCTCTTCGCACATCTGAGGAAACAGCCACCTTGCTGGGGGTGTCACCTTTCCAGAAACACTCCCCATCTTACACAGCTACCGTCAAGTCATCTGTAGACACCACACACAAGCCTAAAGATAAGGCTCCAGAACTCTCTGGAAACAAGATCCCCGAGCAGATCCTCAAGACACTGCCACCGTTCTTGAAGGACGACGAAAAGCTGGGTCTGAAGGTGGGACCGAAATCAAGACGGCATTCTGAGGATGCTACAGAGGATGTGAAGACAACTAACGCTGGAGAGTCTGTGGCAGTGTGTTCTGGACTTGTCGTGTCCCTTGTAGCATGTTTACTTCTAATCAAGCAATGACAACTCCAATTAAGCAATGACACCTCTAATCAAGGCTTAGTAATGACACCTCTAATCAAGCAATGACACCTCTAATCCAGCAATGACACCTCTAATCAAGCAATGACACCTATAATCAAGCAATGACACCTCTAATCAAGCAACGATACTTATAATTGTACTATCATGTTGGTCAAATGAGAAGTCAAGAATAGACCACACATGATCACATTGTATTGATAGGAAAGTTGATTCGTCCTGCTCCAATCAAACAATGACACATCTAATCAAGCAAAGACACCTTCATCAAGGAATGACACCTTTAATCAAGCAATGATACTTATAATTGTACTTTCATGTTGGTCAAATGAGAAGATCAGAATAGACCACATGTGATCACATTGTATTGATAGGAAAGTTGATCCCTTACCAAAAACGCCATTACAGTACTTCAGATTGGACATGAATACTTCACGAAATGTTCCGTGGCTTCAGTAGCCACGTGGCTTGAACCTGACATGTCTAGAACAAATAACAACTTGTGGTTGATTTGTATTTGTATATGTAATGATGGTAAGGAAAAATTATGGATGTCAACTTTATTGACACAACGTTTCGGAGTATATACTTACTCCTTCATCATTCACCCGATGAAGGAGTAAGTATATGCTCCAAAGCGTGTTCCTCATAAAGAATTTGACATCCATAAATTCTCTTCCTTATGTGTATCACTTCTAAATGCCTTTCAAAGACTTGTAATGATGGTGTAATTATTTTCCATAGTTGTTAACAACAATATTAATACATAAGGATGAGTGATACTTATGTGAATGATCTTGTTCACATTAAGGTGACACAGATTATACATTCAACATCATTTCGATTATTGTTTGGATTATATCAAACACGTCATTTTAGTCATAATTAATGCAGATATTTCACCAAACACATAATCAAATTTCATTGTGCGTGTAGACACTTCGAGACTGTTTTTCAGTGATACTTTCATACAATTTTCACGGCTATTTTGCCTGTTATGCCCAGTGGCATGTTTCGTCGGATGATCGAGTCTGGTCATTTTCTTGCGTTAACGTTTTTTTTCACAGTGTATTCAATTTCTTTTTTCATTGCTGAATTCAATGAGCACAGAAAGAACATACCTGAATATGACACAAGTAATTTAAGATCGACAGTTAAACCTCTTAAGTCCGGAACCTCGTTTATCCGGAAACCTTACTTCCCGGACGATTTCCGCGGGAAATGCTTTTAGGTACACAAAATGATATTTTGAGTTATTTTCAGTGATCCATTGATATAATTTTCACCACTTTTTTGCCCTTCGTGTGCAATGGTATCTGTTTCGAGAAATAATCGAAATTATTTTTACTCTGGCGTTGACATTTTATATTTGTAAATGCTCAGTTCTCATGATTCTGTTATGATACAGATTCTGTTATGATACAGATATGTGTAATATGAACGATTTCAGTGGGAACGCTACCGTTTGGATCGGCGGGGTTCAGTTTAATATTGAAAAAAAAAGTGGTCACATAAATTATTTTAATATTAATGATTTGAAGTTAACTAACGTGGAAATTTTATCTTCAATTATCATTATCAACACATAAATCTATGGTGTTTGACGTATGAACTATTTAGGAAGTTACACATAAATCCTCATTACTTTGTTTATCTGTGGGTAGACTACAAAAGAAAAGACATTAATTACAGAAACGCGAATGTAAGGTACAATTATGAGAGATATAGCAAATAGATACTTACACAACCCTCATAAACAAGACTACTCAAAAGTACTCAACCGATTCTTTCAAATAACTAAAGTTTATCTGTCATTTCATGAAAGATTAGGTATACAGTAAACTACCGTAACGGTTATAACGAACTCAAAGGGACCACTAATTTTAGTTCCTTCCAACAAGCAGTTCGTTATGAGCATATATACAGCAAATGACCGGGACCAGAAAATAAGTTCGTTATATCCATCAGTTCGTTATAAGCGTCTTCATTATAAATGTAGTTTACTGTAGTTATATGAAAGAATATGATGTTCCTTAACTTTTTACTAGTAGTATTTTTATTGAACTATTTTTCTTGCATCAAACTAACATTTAACACGAAAGGGGCGAGTGGGCGACATCATAGTTTGTGTTCCAAGCAGCAAATATGCATGTATCTAATAACACAGCGGAGTTATATCAAAATCTATTTGCTCAGAATCTGGGATTTATTAAATTAATGTTACACATTCCGGCGTGTAGACTTGCACATGTTTGTACATTATGTATCATGTCCGTTTACATGGGCTAAACCATAGATCCTTGTATGTAATCTGCATTCGTGTAAATAGTTTTTACGTTCGACTTTTGTAATAAAATTAATTATCTTATTATCGTGTGGATTTGTAGTTGTTTGGGGATAAGACACTGGAATACACTGAGTTTACATCGAATATACATCTGATTCAGACGTTACACAGGAGAATTCCGAGCTTACACCGATGTTAAATTGGTCTAGAAATGTAGTACAATGCCACTGGATATACATCTGATGTGACACCGGAGTTTACGCTGGATATATATGTGGTTCTAAGATTACACAATGTCATGAATAAATTGATATTAAACTGGATAAACATCTGATGTACACTAAGGTTACACCGGAGTTTGCGCTATAGTAAAAATGATTTCACAGGAATACACTAATATTAGACTGGATATACATCTGGGCCCCTTTCCACAAATTGATCGTAGCTCTACGACTGTCGTAAGTCTATATCAAAGTATGGGAGCTTCGATCACCTTAGGTCAACGATCGCTTTGTGGAACGGGGCCTTGGTACTCACTGACTTTACACCGGAGTTAACGCTAGATGTATATCTGATTCTAAGGTTACACATGAATACATTGAGATAACTTTAGATACTAGTATACACCTGATACTTTACACCGGAGTTTAATCTGGATGTATATCATATTCCCCATACCAACAGACAAATGCAACATCCCACCCTGCCAGCCACCAAAACCAACCCACTCACTCACTCACTCACACACCTACTAACTCACTCGCCTACTCAGTGACATACCAGCTCACACGCTCACCTACTAACTCTCTCACTCACTTACTAACTCACTCACCTAGTAACTCACTCACCTTTTTAATCACTCAACTTCTAACTCATCTAGTCACTCTCTCACTCCCCTATTCACTCATTCACTTACCAACTCACTCGCTCACCTATGCAATCACTCACTCACTCACCTATGCAATCACTCACTCACTCACCTATTCACTCATTCACTTACCAACTCACTCATTCACCTATGCAATCACTCACTCACTAACCCACTCACTCAAATACTAACATTCTCAGCTACTAACTCACTCACCTACTCACCCACCCACTCCCTCATTCACCTACTCACCCACCCACTCCCTCATTCACCTACTTACCCATTCACTCGCTCACTCACCTACTCACCCATCCACTCCCTCATTCACCTACTCAACCATTCACTCGCTCATTCACCTACTCACCCACCCACTCACTCACACACCTACTCACCTACTCACTCGCTCACTCACCTACTCACCCACCCACTCCCTCATTCACCTACTCACCCATTCACTCGCTCACTCACCTACTCACCTATCCACCCCCTCATTCACCTACTCACCCATTCACTCGCTCACTCACCTACTCACCCACCCACTCGCTCACACACCTACTCACCCATTCACTCGCTCACTCACCTACTCACCCACCCACCCCCTCATTCACCTACTCACCCATTCACTCGCCTACTCACCCACCCACTCCCTCACTCACCTACTCACCCACGCACTCCCTCACTCACCTACTCACCCACCCACTCCCTCACACACCTACTTACCTACCCACTCCCTCACACACCTACTTACCTACCCACTCCCTTACTCGCCTTCTCACCCACCCACTACCTCACTCACCTACTTACCCACCCGCTCGCTCACTCACCTACTTACCCATTCACTCCCTTACTCACCTACTAACCTACCCGCTCGCTCACTCACCTACTCACCCATTCACTCCCTCACTCACCTATTCACCTACCCGCTCGCTCACTCACCTACTTACCCACCCGCTCGCTCACTCACCTACTCACCCATTCACTCGCTCACTCACCTACCCACCCATTCACTCACCTACTCACCTACCAGCTCGCTCACTCACCTACTCACCCACCCGCGTGTCGGAACTTAACGTATTGTGGCGACCAACGCACAAGGCTACCGGCCGGACATCCTCATTTGTTCACAAGGCTACCAGCCGGACATCCCATTCGTTCACAAGGCTACGGGCCGGACTTCCTCATCGGTTCACAAGGCTACCAGCCGGACATCCTCATCGGTTCACAAGGCTACCAGCCGGACATCCTCATCGGTTCACAAGGCTACCGGCCGAACATCCTCATCGGTTCACAAGGCTACCAGTCGGAAGGCCTCATTTGTTCACAAGCCTACCGGCCGGACATCCTCATCGGTTCACAAGGCTACCAGCCGGACATCCTCATTTGTTCACAAGCCTACCGGCCGGACATCCTCATCGGTTCACAAGGCTACCGGCCGGACATCCTCATTTGTTCACAAGGCTACCAGCCGGACATCCTCATCGGTTCACAAGGCTACCGGCCGGACATCCTCATCGGTTCACAAGGCTACCGGCCGGACATCCTCATCGGTTCACAAGGCTACCGGCCGAACATCCTCATCGGTTCACAAGGCTACCAGTCGGAAGGCCTCATTTGTTCACAAGGCTACCGGCCGAACATCCTCATCGGTTCACAAGGCTACCAGCCGGACATCCTCATTTGTTCACAAGGCTACCAGCCGAACATCCTCATCGGTTCACAAGGCTACAGGCCGGACATCCCATTTGTTCACAAGGCTACCGGCCGGACATCCTCATTTGTTCACAAGCCTACCGGCCGGACATCCTCATCGGTTTACAAGGCTACCGGCCGGACATCCTCATTTGTTTACAAGGCTACCAGCCGGACATCCTCATCGGTTCACAAGGCTACCAGCCGAACATCCTCATTTGTTCACAAGGCTACCAGCCGAACATCCTCATTTGTTCACAAGCTCTGGTATCGTCAGCATCATTGTCGCTATGCCTGTCACATAACATTTGTTACAATGTTGCCAGTTCTGGTTTTACTGGAATCTGTTACGTGAGTAAAAACTTGAACCCCTTGAGTCTCGGGGATGACTGGTGTATGTGTGACATGTCTACTAAGATTACACGGTTAGTTTTACCTACATGAATGAATTCACACCAACACAATACAATTGACAAGAAGCAAAATAGCGGCATCGACAATCAAGATCTAAATTGTAATAAAACAGGTCTTATTTCGCGAAGTGCATCAATTCACATGAGCACCTCGATGAGAACATGAAAAGATTTGGAAAATACCTGTTGACACCGAATTGGTGGCACATTTATTTTACAATTTGTGCAATCAACCGAAATCTGCACGGCAGTTGACGAACCGGATGCCGATTTCGTTACACGATTTTGATTGGACTATGAATACAGTCGTCAGTCCAGCCAAAATATAGCTCCATAATTGCAGAAGTTAGGCAAGGGTGAAAACTGGACTTTTACCTCAGTTAACTCCCTTGCCTCGGGAAGATGGTTCGGTCCTAGTCTGGTCTAGTGAGCCAGGAGTGCGGAATGTCGGTGGTTCGGTGTCTTCCCATTATGACTACTGTTTCAATACACATACTTCAAAGTTAAGCGACTGCTAATTCTCACCTATCACCCCTATATTTGTTTCAGCGTGAAGTTGAAAACGGAGTTGGAGTGAAACCAAAATACGTTAATAGATGCTAATTGTTGTTACCCTGTCGCTCGGTATTAAGGGTTAAGACAAGGACTGGTCGGTTCGGACTCAGTATACTGCATGACACGTATGTGTGTGTGTGTGTGTGTGTGTGTGTGTGTGTGTGTGTGTGTGTGTGTGTGTGTGTGTGTGTGTGTGTGTGTGTGTGTGTGTGTGTGTGTGTGTGTGTGTGTGTGTGTGTGTGTGTGTCTGCTTGTACTAGTCCGGACTGATGCCGATTTACAGTGCTTGCCCACTGAGATACCATGCCGCAGTTTAACATGAATACACCACACAGTATACTGACTCCGAGCCGACCAGTCCTTGTTTTAGCCCCTTACTGTCAAGCGCCAGACAGGGTAACAACAGGTAACATCTTTTAACGTCTTTTGGCATGACGCGGCCGGGGATCGAACCCCGGATCTTCCGCTGTCCGGGCGTACGCTCCACCACTAGACCACGGGGGCGGTCTAAACTGTGGCATTGTACATCAGTGGGTTGGCACTTATTTTTAACGCGACGTTAAATCTTATTCTACCTCTCATCACATAGTGTTACGAAAAAACTAGTGATGAGAAAAATGATATTGCAGGTTGTACTTTTACAGTGACCGTTACTACGGCAACTTACTTACCTCTGCATGTGTTTGTGAAGGGATACCACCAGTTGGGTAGGATCCGTTCATTTTTCGCGAACAACCGGTATCATCACCATTACACATTTACATGCTTATGATAAAGTCGGAATCGTACAATGGACTCTTGGCAGAGATTTCTTATGGAGATGAAAATGTTTTTTGTCGCTTTATATTTTCAGGAAATAGCACTCAGGGAGTTTTAATAAACGATCGAAAATAAACCTTAACGAGTTTAGTCTTTTAAAAAGTATGGTAATTCGCTATTGATACATTATTTATTTACATTAGTTAATATTTTAAATATTTTGCAGATATATTAATAAAGCAGAAACACATTCTAAAGTCATTTAAAGTCCTCGTTCAGTTTAACCAAAGAACAGTAGCATTAGAATTGAATACACGCGTTGACTCTCAAACACATCTAAAATGGCACTTAAAAACTTCAAAGTACAACTGTGGGAAATACGTGTGTACTATTCTCTTTCTACTTTCATTACAAACTCACAGAAATAATGCTTAAAGTGCTCCCTTTATTCACATATCCAGTGAGTTTTCAACACAGTATCAACATTTCTCACTTCTTGTGATAGTTTTGGTTGACATTCCGCCCAAGTAAAACAACATTATATTTACAACCAACACCGTGGCCTATCTTGAACTAATGTTACGATGGTAGTATTAACACAGTTCCAAACACGCGTCTACATAGGGCACTGTCCTCGGTGTTGACAAAGAAGACCGAGTCCACACAGTGCGTTATGAACATAGGCAGACAATTGGGCCCTGACCTGAGGGTGGTTGGCCTACGAAATGTAAAAACAATTAGAGCCTTGTTGTAGAATCACTTACCGTATGTAAGATGAGGATGTTAATGGCCGAGCCACACTACAACGTATAGCAGTAACGTATGGCGACGTATGATATCTTTTGCCAAAACGCTGAAACACGCTATGGATAAGTTAGGTGTAAGTTGAATACGTTTAAAGAATGAACATCGTTGTTACTCTTAAACCTTCACCTACCATACATAATCCTGTACCATGTTGACATTACCTCCAGCTTGATAACAACGGTATAGAGATCTATACCGAAACGTCGCTATAAAAGTATATTAAAAAAAGTTATCCATAAATTTGGTCCACTTTTTCTAGCGTCAACTTCTAAGAAATGTCTATCAAACAATACATCACAACTTTCTACACAGAATCAGCTTCGATTATCTGCCGAAATAGGTTCCATTGAGCGTACATAGGCAATATATAGCGGTGCAAACTATATGACTGGTTCACTGGAAATGAGTGATGACACCAGATTTTCGCATAAACAACGAATTGTAGAAGACTGGGAAACCACCTTGAGAGTCTATGTTTACATTGACTGGTAACATAATACCTCGATAATTGAGGTGATGCTTAGTGTGCATTTATTCATGTTGTATTTGTTTATTTGTTGTTTAACGCCACACTCAGCAATACTCCAGCTATATGATGGCGGTCTGAAAATTATCGAGTCTGAACTAGACAATCCAGTGATTGACACCATGAGCTTCGACCTACGGAATTGGGATACGATGACATGCATCAACCAAGCCAGCGAGACTGACCATCCGATCCCGTTAGTCGCCTCTCACGACAAAACAAACACATTCAAATGTGAATCTACTGAGTAACACTAATTAATACAAACACAAAGTATTTGTAAGGTGATAAAAAAGTGTCACTTCTCATTTAGCCACGAGGATATCGGATTCCTTACTAAACCATTTAATGATAACGTCCCACTATTGTTCTTGCAGTTGATTCCGAGCCACGAACTCACTGGCCATTCTTTAACACTAACACAGCTTTAATATACAACATTATAGAAGATATATATTTCAACCATAATATGGTTTAAGTCAAAGAAATCACTTGAATCTGTTGATTAAGAGAAAATATAATGAAGACAGTGTTTTTTTAAATCATATATTTAATGATATATACTAAAAATGAACTGTACAGTCGCTTTGTCAGCACTTTAAGAATACTTCAACATGGTTTTATTATCTAAAATATATATTTTGATTAAAAATTAAACCAATTCGCATAATACACAGCTGCCGAAGGGTAAGTTAATAAACTTAATCATCTTTGAAAATCAATAAATTTGCAATTTTCGGCATCAACTTTCAATATTTCAAACATTAACTAAGACAAAATTGTTATGGATGAGCAACTTATTTATTACAATTGGGCGACGTTTCGGTGTAGATTCTAACACAGTTATCAAGCAAATGATGTATAGACATGTACTGTCTTCATTATAGTTGGGAGATTTAACGAGCGCTTCAACCTCTGACTATTTCGCACTCGGGGCAGACGGGTCCTATAGAATCATGAATAGTGGTAATAATGATAAACGTCTAGCCAAAAAAACTGTAAATGAAGGGGGATAAAGTAGGAGGAGAAGGGTTTGGGTTGTAGAGGCAGTAATATAAGAGGCCGTGTAAGAGATAGAGAAAGTCCTACGTTAGCCAGGGTCTTGGGGAGTATAAAATAAATAGGATAGGTAGAGAGAGAAAGAATATCAGTTAAGCTGATGTATAAATAATAATAATATGAATAAATAAATAATGATTTGGGGAAAAAATAGGGGTAATGAGTAGGTAACCTAAGCTAATAAACCGGGGGCTAGCGCGGGGGGTGGGTGGGTAAGGGCTATGTGTCGGCGTGTGTGGCAGTGAGCTTGTTGTCCTTGACATTGGGTGGATGGCTGGTTGAACGGCTATGTAGTTGCTATGAATGGATAGTGGAGAGTTTGGGGCGCGGACGTCGGAGGAGACAATCCGCGCGAGGAGTAGGGAGCGCGGACGTCACTGTAGACAATCCGCGCTGAGATTTTGAGGCGCGGACGTCGTAGAAGACAGTCCGCGCTGAGAATTTCGATCCCGATCCGAATCTAAAGTATTGCTGTAAGAGAGGAAATTACTTGGTGAATTTGTTTGGGAAGGTCTAAATTTTTGCTAGTAAGTTTGTGTCTTTAAGGAAAGTGGCTATTTGTAGGTAGGTAGCTGGAGGGTTGTTTTGTTTGAATAGCATGGTGACATTGTTTTTGTAGTTAGGCGGGAGAGAGTTATATAGTGTTTGCTGTTGTTGTTTATATTTACTACATGTGGTGAATATGTGGTTTATGTCTTCTGTGGTATTACAGTGTATGCAGTTTGGATTTGGATGTCTGTTTTGTTTATAGAGTGTTTGGTTTAAGTTTGTTTGATTTCTTTGTATTCTGTTTATAATTTTATCTGCTAATATGGAGTTTGTGTAGTTCTTGCATTTAGTACAATGCAAATGTACAAACTAGGTAAGAGCATGATATCTATACATAACAATAGAAAGATGTTTATATAACAGAGAAGGTTGATGTGCACTGATTGATTAGGTAGTTATGATAAGACAAGTCTAAACAAGAGATAGGGTTGATGTACAGTGATTGATGGGTATGGGATTAACACAAGGATTACTAAGAAGGAATGTATGGGAAGCCAGTGGGGAGATAATAGTTCAGTGTTGTTTTGGCGAGCTGATGAGATCATGGTAAGCTGGAGGGATGTAGTATCCTTGATCTCTGTTTATGGCTGGCTGAATTCTTTTGATGCAAATGTCTTCTCTAAATTTTCTGAGCTTGTAGACTTTCTGGTTTGTTGTTAAGATGTCGACGTTGTCCCACTTAATATTGTGGCTGGGGTGGATTTGGGTGTGGTCAGAGATAGCAGATTTAGAGTCTTCTTTTTTTAGGACAGAGGCATGATGTTCTTTTAAGCGTTGATTGAGAGGTCTTGAAGTTTCACCTACATATGAGTCGCCGCATTCACACACAACACCAGCTGGATCTTGTTTGCGTGTGCTTGGTGGTTTACCTGTGGCATTGAGGAGGTTCTGAATTGTCTGGCCTCTCTGGAACACAACGTCTATATTGGCTTCATGTTCAAGTAGTCGGCGGATCTGATGGCTGGTAGTTCCTATGTAGGGCAGGCTGATGACGAAAGGGGCTGTTTGTTGGCGGGGAGGTTTATCACTGGTGTTGAGGGTGCGATTGATTGTTTGGTTGACTAACTTGACAGGGTAATTGTTGTAACTGGTGAAGACAGTGCGGAGATGGTTGAGTTCGGCTTCTGGGAGTTGGGGCGTGGAGGAGATGTTTTTGGCTCGTCTGGCTAGGGTGGAGATGATGCCTCTCTTTCAAACATGTTAGTGGTCATGTGGTTGCAAATTCATTTCTTACCCTATCTTCATTGAACCATTTTATTTTTATAAAACATTACCGAGCTACCAATTACTTTCTACAAACTGTTGCAGGAATGAGTAATGGTTAAATAATCAAATTTAATAACAGTTATTTATATTTTCAGTTACATGAAAAACAAACTCGGTGTACTTTCATTTCCTCCTCAGTTTGATTAAAACGGAGAATAAGAAAAGTGAAGAGAGTGTTGACATGGATTTCAACTTACGTATTCCTTCAATTGAATGCATTCGACGATAAAGAAGTTAATATCCATATGTTCATTTAATTGGACGATGAAGAAGTTAATATCCATATGTTCAATGAATTGGAAGATGGAGAAGTTAATATCCATATGTTCAATGAATTTGACGATGAGGAAGTTAATATCCATATGTTCATTTAATTGGACGATGAAGAAGTTAATATCCATATGTTCAATGAATTGGACGATGAAGAAGTCAATATCCATATTTTCATTTAATTGGACGAAGAAGAAGTTAATATCCATATATTCAATGAATTTGACGAAGAAGACGTTAGTAATCAAATGTTCAATGAACTGGACGAAGAAGTCGTTAATATCCATATTTTCAATGTATTGAACTGTCCAAGAGCATATGTTTTGCGCTCGGATGGTAGTTCAAGGTGGAGACCGAAGACTCAGGTGTGAAGTTTAAGCCGACAGCAGCCATGTTTATTGTTGATGGGTTGAAATAAGTCGAGAGGATACGTGATGAGGTGTTAATTGACATTAATAGTTAGCGCTGGGGATTAAAGGACATGCCCCGGGGGCTTTTAATTAGAGGAGATACGCCGAATGTTAGCTGTATACCTTAAACAAAGGTGTTTTTGGGGAAACATTGAAACAAATAGGTATTTTAGATAAATGAAGTTTCAAAGCAACGTATTGAAATGGTTTGCACTATAACATGACGACAAAGAGGTTCATAAGGTTCTTATTCATACGTTCAATGCTCTGGACGATAAAGAAGTTAATAGCCGACAATAAAGAAGTTGATAGCCACGAGTTCAATGCATTGGAAAATAAAACAGTTAATATTTATAAGTTCAATGCCTTGGAAATTAAAGAAGTTGATATTCATAAGTTCAATGCATTGGAAAATAAAGAAGTTGATATTCATAAGTTAAAAAACATAAGTTCTACGCATTGGATGGTAAAATAAGTTCATATCCACAAGTTCAATGCATAGGAGAATAAAGAAGTTAATGTCCATAAGTTCAATGAATTGGACGGTAAAAATGTGAATGATCCGTAATTTCAATGCATAAAAGGAATAAAGAAGTTGGGCCCTATATGCAAAGTTCATCTTCATTTAAAATGCAAATTAAAGACGTGGGATACACGGATTTGAGATGAAAATAGCATTCATATACACGCACGTTGACAATTATTGTGAAAGCGAATCATTGTTTGGTTACGTAAAAACACGCAGCCCAAATGTAAGTCAAGCCAGTAAAGTAACCATTGTCCGGTTGAGTGACCGACTGAATGCAACGCATACATTGATTATACTGCGATAAATAAAAATGGTTAAGACATCACTAGCCGCGAGAGAGAGATTATTACACAATAATTTTACAGTACTTCAACCGAATTTGAGGATACGACCACAGACCAAATCATAGCGGGTAAGTGAGTTTACCGCTTTGGACATTATTGCAGTTATATGAAGTCGTGTCAACTAACTGTGGAAGGAAAGCCCGAAGTGATGCAGGTCTGAGACGTTTACCAGTCAGGTGAAACCCACGCGCACGGGGCACAGAATCATGGAGGATCTAGGGTTCAGTTGCCTCGGACAATTTTTTGTCACTGATGCGTCAAATATTTGCATACAACTAGACATATCATGGGAAGGTTCCGACTTTTTGAACGTTTAAGAGGTACTTTCAGACAGTATTATGTTTGATGCAATCTTATCTATTGCAATAATTATACTTGTTGTGTTAATTACAGAAGAAATATCACCGATCGATGCATGTCACGTTACAACGAGAATTGTAAACGTTTTAGGTCATTGTGCTTCAGTATCCTACGTATCAACTACGTGTTAGTTCAAAACCCTATGCAAAATCAAGACCGTACTAGACGATTATTATGTAGAGTAATTGTCTCGACGGCGTAGTAGTTTTATCTCGAGCAGTGACATCTGAAACCGTCTCAGATAACATATGTTCTATATAAAGTTGCAGAGACCATCAACTGAAGGACAGGTGATGAACCGTCGGTCGTGTGTCGTCAGGCGTTTCCAGTAAAGACGTATTTCTGACAGTAACTGTGTCTCCGTCTGAGTGCTGCTTCTTTTAGTTCTCTGGTTGGACATTTTAGCCCTTTTTGGTGTGGGTTCTTTGAACGAGCCATCACAAGATGTGGACATCAGGCTTTGTTCTGAGTCTGGTGCTGATCCTGGGGCTGGTGTTAGAGACAGATTCGTTCTTTCTCTACAAAAAGATGAAGCAAAGGATGAAGAGGGAGGTGGCAAATGACGATGGGCATCATAATAAGATAGGTAGGTAGACGTAAAACGGATAATAGACGCTCCATCGTACAACCTTTTTTATTATTTAAGTGAGTTTGGTTTTACTCCGCATTTTACAATAATCCAGTCATATCACGGCAGGGGAGGGGGGTCGGGGTGGGGTGGGGTGTGGGGGTGGGGGGTGGGGTGTGGGGGGGTGGGGGGGTCGCCAATACTCTACCCATATGGGACTTCGAATTCGCACCTAGAACGGTATTCCCTGACGGATACGCCTACAACTAAATATATATAACCACCCTGTTTTACCACGATTTGAAAACAAACAGTGATGTGGCATGTCACAATATTATGGGTATCATGATCAAGTTACTACACGTTACGCGATGTCGTTTCTTAGTAAGGAGAATAAGTTAACATATACACACAAGTGTACAGCATATACATAAAGTTCAATATACCTCGTTCCAACGTTTTATTGGTAGGGAGTTATAACAGTTCAGTAAAACATATATGGCACTTAATTACAATGAAAGATAGGTCCAGACAACGGAAAGGGGATCAGTCAGTTACATCTTGAAGGCGAATAGCCAGGGGAATTTGGCAACTTGAGTTTTGACCGGGTCTTATATCATTCTATCCATAGAGTTCAATATACATAGATCCAACGTTTTATTGACCTTTGCGCTGGAACAGCACAAGGGTCAGCATCCGGACAGCTTTGTGTTCGCCTCCTCGTGATCGCATTTCTTCCTATCTTGCTGTTTCTATAGATGGCAGTGACCCACCAGACAGATCGTATATGCAATAAATCATCAATAAAACATAAATCTTTAATGCCATTGGTGAACGTTCAATGTAAGTATTGATACATTATAGTTAATAGGGGGTTATAACAGTTGAGCAAAATCTATGACACCAACTACGATGAAAGACGGTATAGGGATTAGTCAGTTCCTTGTTGAAGGCGGATAGCCAGGGGTGTTTAGCGCCTAGAGTTTTGTTAACAACACTGACAGGGTTTTAGGTCCTTCTGAACAGTTATGAAACTTTGACACAGCATAAATATTTTATGATAATTTGATTGTGCCTTTGATAAGTAGTTATGACCAGATCGTCCTGGTTATTGCCAGAATTGCGCCCCTTAGTCGTGTTAGAACCTTAAAAAGGCTTTGAATCCCGGTTCGCGCTGATGACGTTTCTTGGTGTGTCGGCACCAAAGCTATACTCCCGGGTTTCACCAAAGTGGTAAACGTGTACGACCTGCGTAACTTTGGCTTTCCTCCCACACATATATTGGGCGGTCGGGTAGCCTAGTGGTTAAAGCGTTCGCTCGCCACGCCGAAGACCCGGTTTCGATTCCCGACATGGGTAAAATGTGTGAAGCCCATTTCTGGTGTCACCCGCCGTGATATTGCTGGAATATTGCTAAAAGCGACGTAAAACCAAACTCACTCACCCTTTAACAAGATTC